TATATATATTATCATACATATGATATATATATATATCATTTATTAATCCATGCAGGAGATAATTTTATGGAAACCTCAGCCCCACCTATCTGTCTATCTTCCATCTCATTTATTTCTCTATTTATCTATAAAGCTTATCTGTCTGTCCGTCATCTCTCTATCCATCCATCCATTTACCCATCAGTCATTCATCTTAAAAATATACTCCAGAAGTGATATGGTTGTCATGGAGGCAAGTATTAACAATGTTGAGTTGAATTGGAAAATAAAATGACATTTTTTTCTGCATGGTTTACCAATGAGATTTAGATTTGCCTACTGGATTTTTCCGTAAATTGATGAACTTAATCTACAGCTATGGGGTTTTGATGGAAACACATTATAATAATATGCTCCACATGTCATCTTTTGTAAATATTAAACTTATAATGAAATTTTTAGCTGTCCTCTTAAAATGGGAAAGAGCTTACATAGTCTTTGGAAATTCTTATATAAGTTGAAGACACTGACTGATCTATGGGACCAGAGTGCATAGGAAAGAGGGTTTAGGGAATAAACTTTACTCGTTGACTTGTTAATTTGGTCAGTCTATAAACTTACATCCAGCTTCCTGCCTTCTAAGAGCTCTGCCAGGAAAAAAGAAAAAGGTAAGGGGCCAGCCCGGTGGTGCACTGCTACAGTGCGCCACTTGGGAGCGCGGCGGCCCTCCGGCCGAGGGTTCGGATCCCACATACAGACCGGTTCCCGCTCACTGGCTGAGTGAGGGGCGGGCACAGCACCGAGGGTCGCGATCCCGTTGCCGGTCCTGGTCCAGTACGGGCGCGACACTGAGGGTTGCGGTCCGTTGCTGGACACGANAAAAAAAAAAAGAAAAAGAAAAAGGTAAAAGATGACCCAGAGGGAGTCACTGCATTCAGGATCTCACAACCCAGAGAGCTCGCCGACACATAAGGTAATTAATTTAAATTAATAAGGAAAAAATTTACTAACAGAACCAGGCCAAATATGATGGTGGTCAAAAAATGTGCTGGGGTGTCCTAATGGCTTAACAAAGCAGCTCGCTCTATTTGGGTTTGATGGTCAGGTAGAAAAAGTGAAGAAGAGGCATCAGGGTCCTTGAAGTTCCATAGCACATGGAAGGACTCCTAAAACTAATGAAGATAATGGAGTGGAAATTTGCCTGGTGTCACAAAATTAGTAAGTGGCAAAGCCAGGCCTGGAGTTGATAAAGCTGAGGACTCTGAGTCCAGTGCTCTCTCTTCCCTCACAGCCCCCTGTACTGTCGACATAGGTGAGAAATGCTTTGGAATGAAGGAGACATGGCACGTGTTCCCATGCAGGAGGGACTGCCCCAGTACATGCCTCCGTCTGGGGAGACACTGTCCAAACTCTACCTGTAAGTTCTCTTTGATTCTCTTCTCACTGAAGCTCTTGGCCAAGACCACCACCCCCCGCTGCAGCTGGTAGCGCAGGGCAACTTGTCCTGGGGTTCGATTGTGTTTCTTGGCAATGGCATTCAAGATTGGCTCCTCCAGGAGACGTGGGATATTTGGGTCTATCCTGAAAAAGAATGCAGAAATGGAAGGTGTAAGAGGAAAAATCTAGACTGTGCTGCCCCTTTCCCCAAAATCCCCAGACAAATGAGAGGAGCAGGTACAATATGGTGTCATACGAATATTTATAGAGACCCATTAAACATTGTACCTCACTGGAAAAGCTAAACTGTCCATCTAGAGATGGATAAACAACTTGGTGTATATATGTCTAGTCAATGGAATATTACTCAACAATTAAATGGAATGAAATACAGACACTTGCGACTATATGAATGAATCTCACATACATGCTGAGCAAAAGAAGCCAGACAGAAAAGAATATACATGATATCTTCTATATGCAGTACTAGAGCACACAAACCTAGTCTAAGAGTAATAAAAAAAAATCAGAAAAGTAGTTGCCTCGAGGTGAGGAGGAATTGCCTCAGAAGAAACACAAAAGAACGTTTTTGGAAGATAAAAAGTCTCTGTATCATGATAGGGAGGTGGGTTATGTAGTACATCCATTTGCAAAGTTGTACAGCTAGGATATATGCATTACAACCTATGTAAGTTTGACCTTAAAACCATTTTTTTATATTTGAGCTTTTCCATAATGAGCTGTTGAAAGTTAATTTTGTAAAAAGCGCCTCATCGCCAAAATAGTTTCTGAAATAGGGTGACTCTTTGATATCTTCATTACCAGTTTGGGTCTCTGTGGGACGCCAGGGCACTGTAGGCAACTAGAACAATGTCCTTGGACTTGCAGAACTCCAGGAGTTTGCTCTGGTTGAGGTAAGGGTGACATTCCACCTGCAATTTGCAAAACCAAATGGTATCAGAACCTTTGAGCCAACAGCCACATGCAAACTTAAAAAGTACTTTAAAGGAATATCTAATACTACATTGATATATGGACTATATTTTTCAGATTGGTCATTTTTCGTATGCACTTTCTGAAATATCTTCAAATCCCATCAGTTGTTAGCCTGATAAAACAATTTTCTTTTTATTCTTTTTTTATTAGTGTTCTAAAATAATTAAAATCTCTCATGCCCAAATTCTAGTCTCTAAACGTCATTTCCTACTGAAAGGAACCAAGACCCCTCAGAGAAAGGTTGGATTCCAGTTCTGGGTGGGAAAGCTATAAGTTTAGCCTAGAAGGGCTTCCACTCTAGAAAGCAAAGAAGATGAGAAGAGAATGTGGCACAGCACAGGACCCAGAGCTCACTCGAAGAGGCTCCTCCTGGCCAAAATGTGGCAAGTTGAGCACTGAGAAGAATAGCAACTGCAAGGGATGGAAAAATGGCCTATTTGCTAAACAAAAATTTGCATGACATTGATCATATGTGATCAAGTCTTCAATTTCCTCCAATTTACAGAAAGTACAAAAGGATCATGTCAAACTGTATTGCATGGATCAACCACTAAAACCTATTGCATGGGAAACTCTACAGGACGAAAGGTTTAATTTATTCACTAAATAAATTAAAGGCGATAAAGGGGGAGTGAGAGCAAGAGCCAAGGAGGGAGAGAGAGAGGAAGAGGGAGGAGAAGAAAGAACCTACAGATTAAATGAGAGATTAAACAAACATATCACTCAATTTCAATGTATGGACCATATGTTTACCCCAATTTGAATTAATCAACTATAAAAATATGATACAATTGTATTTTAACACTCATGATAGTTAATGATATCAAGAAATCACTGCTAAAATTTTAGGTGTATAATGGTATTCTGGCAATGCTTATTTAAAAGTCTGTATATTTTAAAGATATAGGCCTAAAAAATTACAGATAGGAATTATATAATATCTGCTTCAAAATAATGCAGGGGTAGGAGTATGTGTGTAACAAGTTTAAATACAAAATAATTGTTGCTTAAATGTGGTGTTGGGGCATGTGAAGGGGTTATTATACAATTCTCTGTACCTTTTTATAGTTCAAAATTTTACAAAAGTGAAAAGTTTTAAAAGTTATAAAATAAATATTTTCATGATAAATATAGGAAAAAACACCACAAACTCACCCAGAATCCCACCAGAAAAATACAGCCGCTGTTATCATTTTGCTATGCTTAATTTTAGCCTCCTTTGTTTTTAAGAGTTATGTAATTTTAAACATAGCATATATAGTGACTATTATTAACGTTCCCTGTAGTAAGAAGCTGATTCTATTCACTTATGCCTCCCATCCCGTCTTCAGACTCTATGTCCTGGAAGAAGCTCACACACTCTTTGGTGAAATGGTCTTCCTTTGCCTTGCACTGACTGGTTTAGGAAAGTGCAGATTTCATTGTTCAAGCCAATGACACATGAGAAAAAAACTTGCTAAAAACTTTTCTAGAAATTCTTCCTCCATCATTAGAAACAGCCCAGGAAAACCCCCTTTCCCCTACTGAACATGAGCAAGAAGACATAACCGATTGCCTATGGAAAACCTTCCTGCAACGATGAAGAGCAGTGCACGGACAAAATATTTTGGTTTCAAGATAGTATCTTGCAGATTCTAGAGCAACCAATCCTAAACCTTCTGTAAATGAACCGACTTCTCTAAATTTTAAGCCAAGATTGAGTTTTCTGTTTCTTACAGCTAAAACAACCCTAACTGACATAGCAGCATATGATTATTTGACAGGCTTTCTACGTAATATTAGAACATAGATTTTCCTTTTTCCCATTAGTCTTCATAATATCTCAGCATAGATCTCTATGAAGCCATCATAAATTTAATCATTCCCCTATTGTTGGATATTTAAACTTCCAATTATGTGGTATTAGAAATAAAACTGTGATTAAAATATTTATTTGTATGCCTATCTGGTTATTTTTTTACATATTTTTATTTCCTACAAATATATTCCTAGATGCAAATAAAGACGGTTTAAACTTCCAATTATGTGGTATTAGAAATAAAACTGTGATTAAAATATTTATTTGTATGCATATCTGGTTATTTTTTTACATATTTTTATTTCCTACAAATATATTCCTAGATGCAAATAAAGACGGAGGGTATTATTTAAATAGCTTTTTATATAACTATCAAAATGATTTTCAAAATGATATACACTTTAAATGCCATGAATAATGTGTGATATGTGGCAGCATAGGGTGTTTTTTATAATATTTGTTTTAATTATGATTTATTTATTTGGTTACCTTCCACTCCTCTGCATAGACTTGCATTTGCTCTCTTCATTTGTAACCCCCCTGCTTGGTTTTCCATAAACTCCACACCACTAATTCCTCTGAGCTTTCCCATCCCTACTGGAGTGGTGGGCTCCTCAGTGGGATCCACCCCATCTCTGACTCCAACCTTCTCAACCCTCCTTCTCTGGCCTCCTGACATCACACTCTCCTCACATTCTTTCTACCTGTCTGGCATCTTCTATCCAATACTCTTGTCAGTGCTTCTTTATCTGACCCTTAGGTGTTGATCTTCCTGCCCTCTTCCTTGTTGTTCCATGAACTTTCCCTAGGGGATCAGATCCAGCTCTGTGAGTTTAATTACCATCCACAAAGCAACAACTCTGAAATCTGCATCTCCAGCCTTGAACACCACCTGAGCTCCAGACCAATGTTGCCACCTGCCAACTCAGCATCTCCACCTGGCTGTCTCATAGGAACCTCAAATCCACCTCTGAATACCTGAAATCAAACTCTTCCCACTCCACTCAACCTGCTTCTGCTCTGGTGTTCCCTATTGCAGTGAAAAGAACTACCAGCTATACAATTTTCATCAAGACAGAAACTTAGGAAATATTACTTAAAGAAGAAGGGTATGAAAAACAGAAAGTAAGAAAAGGCCCCCAAACCTAAGGGCTTACCTGGTTGCAGGTGGGTTTGTACTTGAGCCCTGGTTTGTTCAAGATCAGTTCCAGCTGTTTATGATTGAAATTAGACACCCCGATGGACTAGGTTAAACCTGCATCTTTACACTTCTCCAGGGCCTGGGAGGGAGGAAATATGTCCCTGGTTTGTTCAAGATCAGTTCCAGCTGTTTATGATTGAAATTAGACACCCCGATGGACTTGGTTAAACCTGCATCTTTACACTTCTCCAGGGCCTGGGAGGGAGGAAATATGGGGTAGACCTTTAATGTCATTTAGACCTTCTCATTTGCCATCAGACTCTTTAAAAATTGAAAATACGTTTTAACATAGGAATCAAACAGCTTTATCATTTGAACACATTGTTTCCTAATGCACTTTATTTCTTTCCACTTTTGTTTATTTTTTTATTTTTTGGCAGCTTGCTAGTATTGGAATCCAAACCCTTGACCTTGGTGTTATCAGCACCACATTTTCACCAACTGAGATAACCAGCCAGCCCTCCGAATGCACTCCTTGATTCTATTATACACACCCTCAGAACAAATAGCCATTAAGAAGCTTCTAAACTCCTCTTTACCTCCCTTCCCCCTTCAGTGGTGCCTGTTTTGCTGTTAGGCATGCAAAAGTTCTTCAACAAATGATACCAGAGTCAAGGCAAAGAGAAACTCTCAGGTTGTTTGTTATAGAGGGTTTGTTGCTATAGTGAAAAAAATGTATATATGGAATGGGCTTTATACAGACAGGCTTTGCTCTCTTTACAGTCCACCATTCTGCTAAGTCAGACAACAGCTTTGCCCTCCCTCCAAGGCACATTTATCTGTCCTGGAATATTGCACTAACTCCTTTGGCATTTGTCTCTGCTGATACATATTATATGGTTCACACCTCAATCTCATCTGTAGAGCACAGAAATACCTACTCAGAACCACAGAAGTTGGGATTTACAATGGAACTCAGAACTCATCCCGCTCAACTCCCTCACTTGACAGATGAGAACACAGAAATGCAGAGAAGTCACAGTCACATATCTGACGTCAGACAACGACTGGCACAAAAACCCATCTCTCCTAGCTCCCATCCTGGGATCCCTACCTTGCCACATAGTGCCTCTTAGGTGTCTGTAGTAGTACATACCTCCCACGTGTCACGAATGTCCACTGTATCTAAGATAATGTCCCCATTGGCATCCTTTGGCAGAAGTTCTTCCCCAGGCTGAAACATGGAGAAAACACAGGATGAAGATGATTTTCCTTAAGAATCACCTTTCTGGTGACTAAGGAGCTTGGTCACACATCCTTCAGGAGGCTGTGGTTATTGATCTGAGTGTGCATGCGTGTCCATGTGTGCGTGTAAGAGAAGATTGGGGGAAAAGAAGATCAGAATCACCTGAGAGAGGGCAGCTAAACACCTTTCCCCCTAATTACCTCCACTCTCCTACCCTCCCACACCCCTGAACTTCACAAAGAATGAGGTGCTCCACAGATGGAATTTACCTCATTTCTCAAGGGCAGGCTGGTTTGGAAGACAGGACTTGCCATAACTATTAACCAGGTGTTTTAGCTCCAGTTTTTGAGAACCTGGCTCTGAGATAATGATGTCAAAAGATAATTGATGTCAAAATGACATCAAACGTGCTCAGCAAATGTCCACTGTGATGAGAGATTGGATCAGCAAAGCCAAAAGGTACCCACTGTGCAATATGGACCACCCCAATACCTCCTTCTTTATCTGGGAGGTTCACCTGGGAGAGACCCTCCCACCAAAGGGGTGTGGGTTTCCTATGTATCTCTGCAGTCTGTAGTAACTCGACATTCTCGAGGACCTTAATCACTAAGGGCCTGCAGACAGGAGCACAGTCACTCCGACATGCAGAGCAAAGCCCTCCACCCTCTGAGGCAGAGGCCGTGGGATGAGTGAGCTTTAATCCCCCTGAAGGCAGGGGTGAGGATGGTGGGGCAACTCCACTGCCAGATAGTCGCAAATCATTTAGCAATTCTATCCACCTCCTCAAACCTACCTCTCTCAGCAAGAAACCAGAAATTGTGGCTGGAATGAGGTGACAGAGGTGCTAACAAAGTGATGAAACAGTCCTGGGCATAACAAGGAAGACCAAAAGCTGACCTTCAGAGCGAGCGGCATATGAATAAGGAAGAGATCCACGTAGCTCAGCTGAAGCTTCTTCAGTGACCTTTCCAGCCCTGGTCGAACCAATTCTGGTCGAAGGAAAGTAGCCCAAAGCTGCAGTGACCAAAAGAAATAAAAAGTGGCTTAAGATTTCATAGGTTTGGGGACCAAAATTAAATATCACACTTAAAAGACTGAGCAATGAGTGACAAACCATCATGGTGGCCTAAGACTAAGAGCAGCTGGGCTAGTTCCTGTCGCTCAGTATGAATTAGGTCCTTAAGAGATGCCAGATTTAATGCATGCATATATTGTAGAATGATGTGATCAGAACAGTTAGCACATCTGCCTCCTAAACATTCACCATTTCTTTGTGGTTAAAACATTCAAGATCCTCTTTTGTGGCTATCTTCAAATACACAGCACAATATTATTAACTATTGTCACCCTAGGAAACCAGAACTTACTCTTCCTTTCTGACCATAACTTTGTGACTTTGCACCAGTCTACCCACCTCTACCCACCCCCTATTCCTTCCTTTTTTTTTCTTTTTATTTGAGTGACTGCCATGTAAGAAAACTGAATAAAACTTCATGATGCAGGAAAAACCACTTAAAAGTTTCAAGGATTAGAAGAGTCATCCTCTAAAAGGAGGCGAGAAGTGGCAGGCAGGGGATGGGACCTACCGTCCTGTAAAATAAACACCTAAAACAATTCTGCTGAGATATCTGCATTCTAAAAGCAAGTGTTGTTATCAATGTAGACACACATAGGGTTTTTCTATAGAGACCTCAGCTCTCTTTTCATTGGAAGTAAGGTTTTCCATCCAAGAAAATCTTACAGATTTTACAAATTTCAGTCAAATCAGTGCTGATTTGATTAAAAAAAAAAAAAAAGGTATTTCCTAGTCTGGCTCTCTTTTCTGAATAATATCTCAACCTCACTTGATATGTCCTGAGAAAATCTACCAAAGATTTGAAGTAGGCCCATAGTGGCTTGGTTAATCCGTATGACAGTTTAAAAAGATAAATATTATTCTCATTTTGAATATGAATAATGTGATGTTCAGAGACTTTGAGGAACGGTGTCCCACCTTTAACACGTTCCAGAGCAAGCAAGACTCTTCTGTTGTCTGTGTTTCTATAATGAACCTCCACAATATTGAGACATACATAAATTAATCCAATGCAGACAATTTTTTTCACAATTACATGTCTGAACTGAGAGTGACCTCTTGGAGTAGGCCCATAGTGGCTTGGTTAATCCGTATGACAGTTTAAAAAGATAAATATTATTCTCATTTTGAATATGAATAATGTGATGTTCAGAGACTTTGAGGAACGGTGTCCCACCTTTAACACGTTCCAGAGCAAGCAAGCCTCTTCTGTTGTCTGTGTTTCTATAATGAACCTCCACAATATTGAGACATACATAAATTATTCAAATGCAGACAATTTTTTTTCACAATTACATGTCTGAACCGAGGGTGGCCTCTGGTCACTCCACACACAGGACCCTCACCTTGCTGATGTAGAAAATGTCCTCTCTCTGCACAGTGCCATCGGCAATCTTCTCTCGGAGGGCTGCCCCGATCTCCTCCTCATTTTGATAGAAGTAGGCCGCATCGATGTGACGGAAACCTGCGTCAATAGCCACTTTGGTGGCCTCGCCGGCCTTACTCTTGGGAATCTGCACAGCGGGAGTAGGAGAGTTGGTGATCCGAGCAACTCAGAGGGAAGCTATTTACTTCCTCGATGGCATTGTCACCGGCTGTTCCTGCCGCCTCCTGCTCCCCCTGCTCGATGGCACCAGTTTCAGTAACAGATGTGTACTCTGGGAACATAGTCTAAGCTCCACACAACTTCTATCCGAAATGAATTAGAGAAATCGGCTTCACCACGCAACGTGGAAAATCAGGTCTCATTCAATAAGAATCAAATGTTAGGAAATAGCTAACAGGAAAACTTCCTGTGTTCTGGGAGAAAACATGTAAGGCACCAGCAGGAAGGACAGGTGATTACACATACATGACTACACACACAGGTCTCATTCAATAAGAATCAAATGTTAGGAAATAGCTAACAGGAAAACTTCCTGTGTTCTAGGAGAAAACATGTAAGGCACCAGCAGGAAGGACAGGTGATTACACATACATGACTACACACACACACACACACACACACACCAGCATTTATTTTTGGCTAACAATTGGAAATGAGTCCATGCCACCCATCCTTCCCATTTTCCACCCAACTGGGCTTTTCGAGTCATTCGTGATCCTTTTTCAATGTCGTTCACTAGGTGCTCTCATTCAACATTTATGCAATAAGCATGTATTGAGTGGCTCCTGTGTGCCTAACATCCTGTCAGACCCTTAAGCCCTAGGGATTTAGCCATGAATGAAGGGTCCATCTTCCCTGTGCTCATGGGGCTTCTGAGAAGAAGTGGGGAACAAAGTCAGTAAACAAGGAAACAAGTCTTAAACACGTAAACCAGGAGAAATGCATCACTTGAAAACTCAAAACATGATTTCCACAGCATGTTCCAAGTTTAAAAGGCATGTGGATCACGGCTGAGAAGACACTCTGCATGTCTGCACACCTAACAAACCTGGCAGAAGGAAGGGAACTCAGGCATCGGGCTAGGAGAGACGCGTTAGAGGGACAGCTGGCGTCTCAGCCGAGGCTTGCTGGACAGCAGCTGTAGCACAGGGAGGGCGTGCTGGGACCAGAAGGTGTGCGTGAGCTCCTGTGAGGTCCTGAGTGGGAAAGAGCTCGCCACGTTCTAAGAAGTGAGAGAAGGCCAGGGGGCCACCATTCTGGGAACTAGAGAGCAGAGAGTCACATCCTGTCACTGATGCTTCAGAATGCCTCCAGTGCCCCCTTTCCTTTTCACTCTCATCCTTGGTTCTCTGTCCTGACTGTCATTTTCCTGGATTTTGGTAGCAACCCTCCTACAACCGTGGCCGTTCCTCCTGCTTGCTCGGGAGAAATAACAGGAGCAGGAAGGCATTGTCTTTATTTCTTTGCCCTGTTCTAAAGCATCTCACCAGGAAAATATCTGGATAATAAATACATTATAATGGCAACGTCATGAATGATTTTTAAATCTCATCTCAACTTTTTTTTAGAAAAAGACTTTAAATTAATTCCCCCTTTCCGACAGAAAAACACAAGGACTCCTCGCCTAAAGCATATGCCCTCTACAGTCAGGCAATTTTCCATCCTCTGTCCTCAGCGTGCCCCTTCTGCTTGAGTGGAGCCCACGTCCTCACTGCTCACGGGAATGCCTGTGCCTGACTTCAAGCCTTGCTTAGTGCAGCTCACCTCCTCCTTGAAGCCCTCCCAGGACATTCCAGCTCACATCTGCCTCCTTCTTTCTGAACCTCTCAGTTCTGAACCTTTCTGAACTTCTCCTGGTGTGTAGCTATGTGATATTGAGCATTGTTGTGTACCTGTTCACCTGTGCATCTCACATCTTTATCTAGTTGTCATAGCCTCAGAGAAGTGGAACTTTCTTCTACACAAACTCCCACCATTTGCAGTTTGGGCCCTTTACCCCTCAAGAGTTTCTAACCAACAGTAGAGAGGCTCTTACAGAGTGAGAAAGAGCAGGCTGAGCCCAGATTTTTAAAAAGGTAAGAAATAACAATAAGAGTACTTACCTGGAAGAGTTATTGAGGACTTAATTTGATGTATGTTAATTCAATATATAGGTAACAATAATAATAACAATTATAAAGATAATCCACCCACAAAATTATCAGCCCCTGAATCCCCACAGTCAACAGCTTGTCATCCCATTTAGTGCAGAGATGTGCATGACCTGGAGACAGGCAAGTTAGAGACGGTGAAATTGGAAGCCCAGATGAGTCTTCCAAACACATGGTGTACCAGGTGCAGGGCTCCTGCCAGCCGACAGCCCTGCAAGGGCAGTTTATGCAGGACCTTCAGCCCCCACCCGAGTCCACTTACGTCTGCAGAAGCAAAAGTGCCAAATCCAAGCACTGGCATGAAGTGCCCATCATTCAGCTTCACAGAGTGACTGCAGCTCAGATCCATCCTTGTCCACACTCAGCTAGTCTGCCTCTGTCTTTCCCTCCTCCTAACTCTGATTCTTGGAGTTGACAAGGCTCCAGCTTTCTTTATTTCTACCAACAATAAGACAGGCGAGGCTGAGATTACAGCTGCTAATGTTGCCAAAATGAAACTGGAATCAATCCAGATTCCACATTGTTTTGTGATTCTTTCATGTCTCTGAAGGCGTATCTTACAGGAAAAACAAACAGAACTGCTATGCATGCTAGGGGAGTCTGAATTTTCTCTTCAGCATTGTTCACGATGGAGTCCTCTCTTAAAAATTAGCCATGCCAATGTGTCCTTGGCAATTACACCAGACCTACTTTACGAAATGCAAAATGATCATTAAGCTGGCCATTTCTAAACACCAATTCTGCTAGAGGACCTTAGTTAAGTTTCTCACCCTCTATTTCATCATAAATCTCAACAACAACAACAAAAGACCTTATTGAGAATTTCTTGAACAAAGCTTCACGCCTAGTCCCAACAAAATTCCTTAGGAACATCCACCCCTTATTTCACCACATTTTTTCCCCTGTACTGAGGCCCCATTCTGCCTTCTGATTCTTTCTGACTTGTTTCCATGAATCTTTTTGGCAAGAAAAAATTTGCCTTAGATCACACATAAGTTTCTGTATTCCTGCCGTTGTTTCAGTGACTGCCTATTTCTGGAATAGCCTGCTCTGCTCCCACCTCATTCCCTGATGAACTACTTCTCCAAAATGCACCTGCTCCAGCCTCACATTTCGTATCATTCCTCCCACGACCTCACTGGACAAGGGTGACCACACTTTCCTACCTGCCCTCGTATTATTATAGCTCCTATTAATGCAGTGCAAAGAACCACATTAGTGAAATTACACTCTCAATTAATAACAAACTTCTGCTAGGTAAATTGTTTTGTTTAATGTTACTGCTATGCTAAGCCTCCCCCTTCCTGTGTTTGTGCAGTTGGTATTTTAGAGACAATCAGAGGACATAACCTTGTAATTTATCTTATTATTTTCAACCCATCCCTCTGGTTGGTCAAGGTCAGACTTCTGCCTGATTCTATTATTTCATGTAATTTGTATTTATCCCAGCATTGGGTCAGCTGTAAACTTGATGAGTATACCTTTTGTATTTTTATTGGTAAAGCTGTTGAACTAAATAGAGATGGAGCTAAGTTCTTGGACAGGTCACCAGAAAATTCTCTCTTCATTGATGTTAATAGCCTTTAACCCATCATTCAACAAGTTAAAAATTTGTCTAATGCCCCTTGCAATATTTACCTGGATTTTGCACTACATGCTTTGCTGAAGTGGGAGATGCTATTTCTCCCTTACCTTTCTGATTCACCAGTGGGAACTTTGTCATGAAGGAGAATGGGCCAGTCTCATCCTCAGTGAAGCTAAGCCAGGCCCTCAAGCTCCCCCAGCTTCTCTTTTAAAAAGTCTCATACAACTTGCATTAATCATTATCCCCTAACATTTCCAGGGTTGATATCATGCCTTACAGCATATAGTTTTCAGAATCCATCTTCTCTCCATAGTTGGAAAGATACATATCCCTGGCTTCCTGGCACCTCTTGTATTTTCTAAAGTATCTGAAAGGCTACCAGTGAGATGGTAGGGCAGATCGCAAGATGGTCCCCAATGGTCCCTGCCTCCTGGGATGCATTCCCTTGCGTGATACCCTGTCTTTGAGTGTGGGTGGCACCTGTGACTTCATTCTAAAAAGTGGGATATCGTAAGGTAAAGAAATACAACTTCTATCATGAGTTAATACAACACTGTGACCCTGCTAGCAAACTCTCTGTATCATTCTCCCTGCTTGCAAACTTTGATAAAATGAGAAGCCATGCTGGAGAGGCCCACATGGCAAAGAACTGAGCATGGCCTCTGGTATCCAGCCAGGTAGAAACCAAGGCCTTCATTCAGACGGCTCACAAGGAGCTCAATTCTGCCTGTACCCAAATGAGCTTGGAAGCAGGTCATTCCCCAGCTGAGCCTTCAGAGCAGACCCACCTTTGTATTTAGGGTTTTTTTCTCTTGTCTTACATAAATATTTTTTATTGAAATGTAATGGATTATACATATTTGTGGGATGCAGAGTTGATGATCAGCATTTATGTACAATGTGTGATGATCAAATCAGGATAATTAGCGTATTCATCACTACAGAACATAATCATTCCTCATGTCCATTAACCAATTTCTCATTAACTACCCTCCTCTCCCCCTTTCCTTCCTTTAGCAACCGCAGTTCTGTTCTCTCCTTCTGAAAGTTCAGTGCATTATTGTGACTGTTCTTCCTTTCTCTCAACAGCATAGAGGTTTCTCAAACAACTACAGATAGAACTTCCACACAATCCAGCAATCCCACTACTGGTCATATATCTAAAGGAATGCAAATCATAGTGTTGAAAGGATACCTGCACTCCCATGTTCATCACAGCTCTGTTTACAATAGCCAAGACATGGAACCAACATAAATGTCCATTGATCCACTGATTGACAACTGGATAAGGAAAATGTGGTATATATACACAATGGAATACTACTCTGCCAGAAAAAAGAATGAAATTCTGCCATTCTCAGCAACATGGATGAGCTTGGAGAAAATTATGTTAAATGAAATAAGCCAGGTACAGAAAGAGAAATACCACCTGTCCTCACTCATAAGTGGGAGTTAAAAAATAAATAGAGAGACCCACCTTTGGCTGATGCCTTCACTGCAGCCCACTGAGAATCTGAGCAGAGGAACTAGCCAGGCTCTGCATGCTGCACAGAAAATTACTGCAAACTTAGCAGCTTGAAGCTAATACAAGGGGAGACAGGATAAATGTGAATTTTAACACCACATAATACCCAAAGAGACAGAAGGACACATATAATCCTAGAAGTTGTGGTGGATGGCCACTAGCCCGCCCTGAGGGTTTTAGAAAAACTGAGTGGAATGTTCAAATTATGTGAAATTGGATTTCATTCAACAGTCAATATTTATCGAGCAGCTATCTAATGTGCAAGACAGTATTGTAGACACTATAATCAAACAGACAAAAATCTCTACACTTATGAAGCTTACTTTCCAATAGAAGGTGCACACAATAAACTAATAAATACATAGAGTGAAGATCATGGCATACAATTAAAAGTTATGTGAACGGGGATAAAAAGCATGAAAAAGTGTGAATGCAGTAGAGGGACAAGAGAAATTATAAATAGCATAATCAGGAAATTCTCATTGAGAAAGAAATATTTGAGAAAAGACCTGAAGGAAGGAAGGAAACAAGCCTTGACAATACGTGGGAGAAGAGGGTTTCAGGCAAGGGATCCTCAGGACAAAATGCTTGCAGCAGAATGTCGCAAGCGTGTGCTCCAGGAACAGCAGGATTGGGAAGAGAGGTCAGAAAGCAGTGGAGGGCCAGCTTGTGTTGAGCCCTTTAAGCTACTGCAAGGATTTTGGCTTCTACTCTGGGCTGGATGGGGAGACACGGAGGAGGTGGAGCTGCTGGGCAGAGGATAGACTGTAAGTTGGCAAGGACAGAAGGAGGCAAACTAGTTAGGAAGCCATTTTAATCATCAAGGCAGGAGATGGGATGACTTGGACCAGGAGGGTTGTGGAACAGATGATGACAAGTGGTCAGGTTCTGGACACATTTGGAAGATGAACCCTCAAAGTTTGGTCTTTACAACTGAGAAATGGAGTTGATGTTTTATTGAGATTGGGAAAATTTAAGGTGGAGCAGGATTGCAGGGGGACTAGAGGGGCTTTGTCTGGGGCATATTGAGCTTGGGACAACCACTAGACCCTTAAGTGGAGATGTTGAGTTCCAGTCTGGATTTCGGGGGATATGACTGAACTGAAGATACTGAGAAGGGAGTTTACAGCCTAGTGATGTTATTTAGGTCCATGAGGATGTCTAAGATCGTCAGGGGAGTCTCACTCCCTAGAGAAGGAAAAGAGAATGAGGACTACGTCGTGGGACGCTCCAGCAGTTAGAAGGGAGGAAAATGAGAAGGCAGTAAAGAAGAGACAGAGAAGGAGGAGGAAGACTAAGACATGGGGATGTCACAGAAGGCAAGTGAAGAAGGTGATTTAGGAGGACAAAGCATCAGCGAGGACAGATGCTGCCGGAATATGAAGTACATCCACTGAGAATTAAGTATTAAATTTCGAAATATGGAAGTCAGTGGTGGCCCGAATGAGAACATTTTTAGTGGAGCAATGAGGCTAAAAACCCCACTGGAGTAAGTTCAATAGACCATGGGAATTAGAGGCAATAAATCTAGAGAAATCTTTCATGCAATTTAACTGGGAAGGTATAGAAAAATGTGGCAGAACCTGGAGAGTATCTTGTAAGATGGAAAGAATTTATGTTATAATAGAGAAGGTCAAGGAAATGAAAGTTCGGCATGCAGGCCTTGGGCAATGCAGCAGTCTGGGCTGCAGGGCTGCAGGGTCAGGACATGCCAGGCAGTAGGCTGAAGATCCACGATGCTGTGGATGTGGCTGGATGGGAGTACACATTTGAAATACTTCCCCTTTTGAATCTGGTTTGAGATATGTAGCTTCCATCTCTAGCCCAAGGAAAGACTGAAGCATAGGGAAATAAAACCATTTATCTTTGTTTTGGAAGTAATTGATCAAGTCATGCAGCTGATTGATGCACATTTAGATGCAATGTTTATAGAAAGTTGATTGTTAATAAAAACCAAATTTACACTGGCATGTGTGGCGTAGTTTCTAAAAGGCCCTTCAAAATAGAAATTTTTCTTAACTTAGAAAGTTTCTAGTTATCTAAATGTCTGTTTTTGTATCCTTCTGTGTATGTTCATTGTTTCTCAGTATTACCACTTGAATAATTTTCTGTGCAGGAGGATTGTTTGTGCTATACACCGGGGTATCTAATTGCAGTAATAAAACCTTTCTTTAAACAGGGGGTGGGGGAAGAAAACAAAGGGCCAGAGCATTAGATGCAATATCTATAATGATACTGAAAACACCAGGAATGATGAAAGAAGTAGTTCTGCAAAATGTGCCAGAAGTGGGTGTTAAAATCTCCAAAGGTACATTCCCTTTAATAAGAATGGGAAAAAAAAAAAAACTTCCAGGGATGAGAGCAAGTGATCATGGGCTGGATGACAGGTGACTGCAACAGGAGAGGCCGTTTGGAAGGTGGGTGTTTTCATGCAAAAGGGAGAAAGACTGGCTGCAGGAGATAGTGAGGAGATGAGAGGACTCTTTCCCCACCTCCATGCTCCCCAGCAAGAGGGTGGGATGGTAGAGGACCTGCACCTTCTCCTAGGAG